TGGAAGGTGATGATTATCACAACAACTCAAAGGACGTTTCTGCTCAGAAGTGTGCTGCAGGCAAATGAGCATGTGATCTAAAACAATAGATGTGACTTATCTTTACTCTTTGAACCTTTATATAATGTTCAAATGAAGTTGAGATGATAAAGATCTTAGATGCTGTTAACTGGAACTTTTACTGGAAGACGTCTGTATTGTACTGTGTGATTTCTTCCCACATTTATTCTGAAGTTTTGCTTTTTGAACAGGAAGCAGAATGTGCCTATGTGGTCATTCTGATGGCACTGTACTGGTGCACAGAAGTCTTGCCACTGGCTGTGACAGCTCTTCTCCCAGTGGTTCTTTTCCCACTTTTTGGCATAATGCCATCCAAAGATGTACGTAAAAACCAATCCTGGAGTATAATGTTTACGTATCATTCTTCTGGAGTAAGAAATGTATTTCTATGATCTTGCTGTTTCAGGTGGGTATGCAGTATTTGAAGGATACAAACTTGTTATTTTTGGGAGGACTATTGGTCGCTGTGGCTGTGGAGCACTGGAATCTGCACAAACGCATTGCTTTAAGGGTGCTGCTTTTTGTTGGCGTACGTCCTGCACTGTGAGTGGTTTGAATTTACCCTAGCTATCACCTTTAGGACCTACATTTTAAAAGCCTAACCTCTAGCTATCTAAAGGATCAGCTATCTTAAGAAACAATAAACTGAAGATAAGGGTAGTGTGTTCAAGGTTTTCATAAACTCATAAAAGTGTGTTTTTATCCGTTTGTTGCCCACTGTCGAAAAACCCATCATAGCCAGATCTTAACAACGGCAATTTTCTTTCCTTTTTTCTTTTTCCACGGCTGCTGACAGTTTGATGCTGGGGTTCATGGGTGTCACTGCATTCCTGTCCATGTGGATCAGTAACACAGCTACAACAGCTATGATGGTGCCCATTGTCCAAGCTGTGTTGGATCAGCTCAACAACAGTGAAAGAGAGGCACCTCAGATCCTCAGCTCAGATGACCACGTCCAAACATCGGACGCTGACAGCAAACCACCCACACAGACGGAAAAAGAAAATGAAGGACATGGTGAGCTCTTTACAACATCAAGTGCTTTGTCTGCAGCCCCAATCACCCAAAATAGCAGACAGTTTTCTTATTGAACTACTGTACCATATCATTGCTTTTCATTCCTTGTTCTTGGTTTAAAGGCCCCGTGGTGGTGACCTTTTTAGATGCTTCGGTAGAAATTACCAGACATAAGGAGGAAGCAGAAAGGCTGGAAATGTGTAAAGGGATGACCTTGTGTATTTGTTATGCTGCCAGCATTGGAGGAACTGCCACACTGACAGGAACCGGTCCCAATTTGGTGCTTCAGGGTGGGATGAATCAGTGAGTATGTCCTTATTTATCATGAATAGTACTTTTTTATTTAGAACTGTCTTTAGGTTGACCTTTTTGTTTTCATTAGGCTGTTTCCTGAAAACGGGGATGTGATTAACTTTGCCTCCTGGTTTGGCTTTGCCTTCCCAAACATGATCCTTATGCTCACAGCAGCTTGGCTTTGGCTGCAGTTTGTCTACATGGGATTCAAGTGAGTTCGATGATGGCAAAAACTTTATGATTCCAAATTAAAAGCAAAAAGCTTGTTATTGTGTCAGTTGTATGATTGGATGAGATTCCTTCTAAGGCTTGATTTCTTTGTGACCTCTATAGCTTTAGGAAGACATGGGGTTGTGGGAGTGAAAAGACAGAAAAAGAGATCGCTGCCTATAATGTGATCCGTGAGCAACATCGTCTGCTGGGGTCCATGTCTTTTGGAGAAATAAGTGTTCTGGGTCTCTTCATTTTGCTGGTGCTTCTGTGGTTCACGAGGGATCCAGGTTTTGTCAACGGA